CTGTTCCCTGCCACAAGAGACAGGCAAAAGGATTGAATGCAACAGTGATTTGGGAGTGAAATGCAGGCAACATGTTTTCGTTCTACAAGTGTATTTTTAAAGATGAACAGTTCATTTCATGTTGTTAGAGGCTGCTTGTTGAAGCCAAGTGCCTCAAGTTTTGGCTGGGAAAGGTCATTTGGCACTTGGGGTTTATTCATTTAGAGTAGCAGTTCTATTACTGAAGCTCTTTTTTAACTCTTCTTTGTTTTCTCCCCACTTCCAGGAAAGCTGAATGGCATTGACCTGCTCCAGGAAGTCAAGGGGGAGGCAGAGGGTTGCTTAGAGACTGCACATAGCTTGATCTCTGCAGAGTCTGAGGAGCAAGAGGTGCCTGAGGTGAAGGCCAGTGAAGTGTTTATGAATGGCAGTGATTTGAAAAGTGATGAGAGGTCTCTACTTGTTCCTGAACTGAAGGATGCCAGGTGAGTCCATGTAGGTGGCTGCTTTACCGTCAGAGCTGTTCTCCATCACACAAGAAACAATCCTCTGTTGAAGTTAAATGTGGTGTATGTAGCCTTGCCTCAAATGTTGCACACCTCTATCATTAACAAAGCATTAAACAAGAGGGAGGGGACAAACCTGAAATGGAAGAATAAGCTACAGAAAGCTTGTAGAACATCTTCAGTTGTGCTGAAACACCAGATACACTATAAAAGCCTCCCTTAGTTGGAATTGGTTTTAGGATTCCAAATTTTATCTTCTTGAACATAAAGCATTTCCATTTACTACTGGAAAATCTGTCCTCTGGTGCTTGTCCCAGTTGGTTATCTAAATGCTAATGATTTGGAAATGACATTGTGAACTCTTTTGAGTGATGATAAAGGAATCTCGTTCCTTCAGTGGTGCAATATAAAGCCGTTTTCCTGATTTTCTGAAGAATGAATGAAAATGGAGCGCTCTGATTTGGGGTCAGATTTTAAATCTGTTTTAAATTTTCCTCTGAGGCTCAGTTTTGTTTTTCAAATGTCTTAACTGGAGCAGAAAGTCAAAAATCACACTATTATAATAGAGGTTTAATGGTGCAGGGCTTGCTTATAGGAAGTTTCTGGAGCCAGACCTTACCTGCAAGCTATCAGCATAGTAAAACATGGCTCTGTTGGTGAGTCGTTCTTCCCCATTGGCTCTTGAATGGGAGATCCTGTGTGGCAGCTTGTCTGGGATTGCCCTTCAGGATATTCAGGGATCTGCAAAGCATGCAGGCTTCTATTGGCTGACCTGTAATCGATCTAAAGGTTAAACATGCAGAGATGATAATACAAGTATCCCTTCTCTTTCTTTTCCCTAGCCATCCTGCGAAAGAAATGGTTATGGATGCCTCGGTGGAGTTGGGTGTTATCGAAGCTGATCATACAGTTGGACTTACTCAGAACCTTAATGGCAAAGCCAGTTCATGGACTTTTGAGGAGTTTATTGACATTGGGGTACATTCCAAGTCACCCAAACTGAGCTCGGACAGCATCTCTGCTGGTAACTGTAATCAAAACTTGAATGATGCTGCTACAATACCTTCTAGTCCCAAATTGGCTTTTGAGGAAGATGGTGCAGTGAATTCATTGACCAAACCTATAGATGCTTCATCAGGTAATCCAAGCTGACTTCCCTATCTCTCTCTTCCTCTGGCTAGGTAATTAATTTCCTTGCTTTTTACTCTCCTTGCCTTAACTACAGCTTCCTATTCTCAAGGCACTTTTTCCACTGTGTAGACTGGAGGGAAAGCTCTTTCTTTAGTGCTTGTAACTGGAACCCTGTCAAAAGGAGTCACCAACTGATGCCTTTTTAGGGACTTGGTCTAGACAGCAACTAAGACTCGTCATTAGGGCTCTTCCAAAGACACAGCTGAGCCCCTGTGAAGCTCCTGTATCTCCTACCAGCACTCAAGCCCATCTGTTGTATTTTAGGCTGTTTCTAAGATATCTTAAATGGCACGTTACTTTTGAAGATGCTAACAGTTTGAAAGGTGTCTGATGTAACTCTACAGACAAGGCCTTTCCCCTCCTAGCCATGTTCTCTTACTTCATGATGCTGACCTGCATGGTCTTATAAAGGTCTCTAGCAAGGTATTAGCTGTCCTCTGCTTACTGTAGAATAGCCTTTCCCTTCACTGAGGAGGGGTAACACCAACCTTAAACTCCACAGACGGTTGTGTTACGTTTTGGGAGGAGCAGTAACACTGCACACACAATAGTCTGGATTTTCCTGAAAGAAGCAGGGCTGCATCTGAAGCCACATGTACTTGAGAAGCCAAACCCTGATGCAATACAGTATAACATGTCAGAGAAGCTTCAGCAAGCTAGTTCATGTAGGACTAAACTTGTCTAGTGTTGGAGCAAAAGCCCAAATGGATGTGCTCACAGCAGGAGATCTCTTTGCAGGAGAGAAATGACTGTGTGAACAGTGGAAATGAATGGTAGCTGAAGAAGCAAGACTTGCTCTCCACATGTTCTTTCAGTGATGTGTAGCAGTGGCTCTGATTAAAGTGTAGCACTTTTCTAGCCTGAACTGTTTCCTGAGTCTCCTCTGTCTCTCTGCGTCTTGTTATCCCATGGGCACAGCCTTAGCGAGACTTCTCTTGAGGCCACGACTAACTGGATTCAGTGTGATGCTGCTGATCAGTCATTAACTTCTTAGTAAAGAAAGCATTGCCTTTTAAAGGTGAACTTTAAAATGGTTAGACATGATATAGTTTAATACATAATGCATATATAGAAAAGGAAAAGCTACTGCACTGGTTTTGGACTGTAAGTAACGAAGGGGCTGTGCTCACTGCCTGGGTGTAGCCTCTAATGGTGCTGATAGACCATGTGGCTTGCACACAGTTATGATGGTTACAGGTTTTTTTCTCTTTGCTCTTTGGACAGAACTGTGAACACACACTAGAGACCTGGAACTAACCTGATTGCACTTCAGTAACCCAGTGTGTTACCAAGTACCGAAGGCCTTGCTTTGAAAAGCTGCTTCTTTACCTTTATCCAGCTTCAAGTTTGCAAAAACCACCAGGAGAGGGATGCCAAACCTCTGCTTTGCACCTTGAAACAGTTCAGGGAAGCTTGTGCTGATGTTCCTTTTCCATTCATTTAGTTAAGTGTTAGAGATTTCCTGGTTCCAGTATCACTTGTTTCCCTTCACAGTAACCTGTCTCTGGTTTAGTTTTCCTATCATGTATAACAGTGTGCCACTGGAGGCTGCTTAGATCCTGGCTGCATTTTGCATCTTCCTAAACTGGCACTTGATGAAATAAGACTCATTGAGTGCGTGGTAAAAGCTGAACACCCCTTGCAGCATCCTAGAGCAATGCTGTTCCTCACTGGTTCAGGTGCTGTTTAAAACTGCAGGTCTTCAGTTTTGAATGGAGATGCTAAATTCCTCATTTCCTAGTGTGAAAATACTGGCAGTTTCCAAATGTATCATTGGACCATCACTAATATGTTTTAATCTATTGGCAAACAGAACATTTTACAGCATGTGCACTAATGTATTACATTGAGTACCTAGAGATGTCTGTCATCGTGCAGTTTAACATGTCCTGCTTTTACAACTGTTTCCTTTTGAATTCCTTATTTATCTACACTTATGGAAGTATTATTTTATTGTGTACATAACAGTATTAGACCACTGAAGTCATGTTTTGTCCATGTTAGTTATTTGACGTGTTCCTGTTCTAGCTTTGTAACAGTGGCTGCAAGCTGCAAATGTATTTCCCTTCCCAAAAGCCTGCATTGAGTAATGTTTAACCTCAACTGGGCTGCTTTTTTACAGCTTGAAGAGATTGACTAAGCATCTCCTGACAAATTGCTACTAAAAGTAAGAATGCAGCCTTGTTCCTGTAAGAGATACTGGATAGGTGATTACAGGATAGCTGCTCTAACCCATGGGCTGATCCATCAGTTCCCATGAAGCAGCCAAGAGGCAGCTGTGCTTGCATGGTGAAACACAAACGGTTTCACTGGAACTAAACACATTTGACGTTGCAGTTGCAATGGGAAGCCCTCACTGAGCCTTCTTACTCTCTTCTTTGCTCCTCTGAATGCAGTAGAACTGTTTTAGCCTTTAGAGCAGTGCCTTAGGTAAAAGGACAGATGTATTTTTGTACAATAGCTGTTTCCCCTGGCAGAGACAATCATTTTAACAGCAGAGATGCTGGGATTTTTCTCTGTGCTGATACTGTTTGTTGTCTGTTACAGCTCTGTGTAAATACATGCACACTGTTAAATAAACTTTGCAGTTGAACAATGCTTTATTTCTGTAATGCTAAATGGTACCTGACTAGGAGTCTCCAATCCCTGCCTTGGGGTGTGCTCTGGTGAATACTGCACACTGCAGAGTCCCTAAACTAGTAGTAGCCTCTTTGGTGATTGTGTTTGTGTGGTTGGGAAGTGATTTGGCCTAACAAACACCTCTGACCCTGCTGTGTTTATACATGCCGAGGGCATGGTCATAACTTGAGTTCTTTAACTTGCTTTTCACTATAAGCTCTTGCTTTTCACTTGCAGCACCAACACATCAGGCTGGTTGTCCAGCAGTGACCATCAAGAATACAGCAAGGTGCTGCCTTGTGTTTTCTTGCAAGGACTCTTTGTTTCTGGTAGGTGCCTGTGAATAAAAGGGGATGAAGAACTGGAGCAGCATCCAGTTGATGAGTGTTCCTGCATCTCATTACTGTGGAAAGAAACTCAACCTTACCCAGTGTTGAAGGGTAGTATGGACAGTCCCAGCACATATGTTCTCCAAGGGGCTTTTTCACACAGGCTGGTAGTGGCAGATGGTCCAGTGTCAGTTATATATTCAAAAGAGAAGTATATGGAAATGGGTGCTTTGGTTCTCAGCTCTTTAAGGGTGCTATGGCACAACAGCTGACTGTTGACTTTGCCAGTATCAATGCACGAGACTTGATTTCAATAGCTCAGCCCCAAGAGGTGTCAACTGTGTAAGTGAAAAACCCATTTTCCAGACTGCAGGACTCCAAGCAGGCACAAGTCTCATGTTTATTAAATCATAAACCATACACTGATAGGAGAGCTATCATTTTCTGAGCTGTTTTAAAGGCATTTCTTAAATGCATGTGCATTTTGGTGTAATGATTTCCTTCATATTAATGGATTAATAATTGTAGCTGGGACAGCCTCATTTGAACAAGGATATAAAAAAGCTGAGGAGTAAAACTTTGGGGCAAACCATGCAGAAAGCAAGACTAAAACAAGTTGATGGAAACTTAACTACAGCTAAATCATACTGCTAAAACATTGTTATATGTAAGGTGAAGCCATTCCATACATGTGCTGCAGTTTGGTGCAGTAGCTAAGCTAAGGGATTCATTATTGATCTGCTATTAATGATGTGATGTATGTAATAATAACGCATGTATGTGATGTACTTGTAAAAGCATCATAATCATCATCTCTGAGCCAAGGTGCAACCTTCCCATCTCTGTTTCTGAACTGCATGCCTTGTCAAACCCACTTCATTTCAGTGCCAGGCTTAAACATTCAACAGGCAACTTTAAAACCAGCTTTGTTCTAGTTTAAGCCACACACAGGTTATGCACTATGTGGATTGCTAAATCTACCAGCATTTCAAGTCATTACGAGTTACTTAGAAACAAGGTTAGATCTTTGCAGCGCTACATGCTTTTATACTGCAGGAGCTTCAAAAGTCAAACCCAGTCTTACTGAGGCTATTTTAGTTCTTACACTAAAATGGAAAAAGTTTAAATGCTTAACATGCAAAAACCTCCTTCTGCAGGCCTGGTTGGGAAAGCAGGGCTCTAAACTCTGCCCTAGTCTGCTCCTTACAGTCGTTTGGGACACTCAGCACAGTAAATCTTTCCGTTATGGCGAACAAAGCGCTTGTTGGCCAGGCCACGGGCACACTTTGTGCACTTGAAACAGTAATCGTGCCAGGACTCATCTTCGTAGTTAACCACACTGGTTCCTCTTCCAAATCCTGCTAGGAGAGAACACAATTATAGGACGGCGATAGTAGTTGTTCCCGTGGCTGGGATCGCCCATCAAGCAGCAACTCCCATTCTGACTGCATCCCATGCTCCTGCAGTCTCACAAGCTGTACTTGTGTGCCTAAAGCAGTAGCCAGAATTGCACTGGAACTACACTGCTACCTGCTCAGTATCACTGCTCTTAGTAGCTTAAGACCTGTGGGGTTCATTTCCACAATAAGCTTTTCCCCTTGGATCCTGTCTCCAGAGAATGGTCAAGCTGAAGGAAGGATACAGAGCAAGGAGCAGTAGGGCTGAACTTCCTTGGCTAGTATGGGCTCAGACTGGAATTTAAGTCTTTTAGGAATGGCAGGAGAGGCAATCCCACATGTCAGGGCTGAGCTTTGTAATCCAGTAAAATACATGGGAAGTGAAGGACATGTCACTTTGGGGCAATAAAACACTGCAGTTGTAGACATGAGGTTCCCAGAATGACATAGATGGAACCATTCCAGATGGGGGAGTTCTGAAGGAGATAAAGTTGAGGCATGCAAAGGGTGAAGAGCTCAGGTTCCATCCAGCAAGAACACGTGGCTTAGCATTAAATCACATGTGAATGGCTGGGATTGGGCCTGGGATACTGGACCTGGTGTGAGCAGGTTTGTGGGGATCCCTGTTCCGACCTCAAGCCCCCACTGCCCTCAAGCTGCATTTACTCCAACGTACCTGTGATAGGGTTCTTGCAGCCAGCACACTTCTTGGCAACACATTCCTTGTAGCATTCAACGCAGTAGAACTCATCCTCTACAGCCGTGAAGCGCTTCCCACCCAGTTGCTTCTTGCAGTTGGAGCAGATGAAACACTCGGAATGCCAAGGCTGTTCCTGGTAAGTGAGGCCTCCAGAAGTGATGGGCTAGGGGGCAAAGAGCAGGGATGGGTTTAGAGGTGGCAGGGAGGAAGAGAGATGGTGCTGCAGGGGCTTCATGAAAGTTAGTGCAGCACAATGGAGATCCTTTGGCCTGGAATCCTGCAGTCTTTCAATGCCTAAAGGGGCTCCAGAAAACCTGGAGAGGGGCTTGGGACAAGGGCCTGTAGGGACAGGCCAAGGGGAATGGCTTGAACCTGCCCGAGGGGAGACTGAGCTGAGCTCTTAGGCAGAAGCTCTTCCCTGTGAGGGTGCTGAGGCGCTGGCACAGGGTGCCCAGAGAAGCTGTGGCTGCCCCATCCCTACTCAGATGCTGCTCTGCACAAGGACCATTGGCTCGTGCAGGATCACACCACCAGCTGCTTGCAGCAGTACCTCAAGGAATGAACACCAGCATTGGTACATCTGCCTCCTGTTCTACTCTCCTAGCTTCCCAAAGCCACGGCACAGCGAGTTCTGGCATTGCCTTTGCAGGGGGCAGGACTTACATTCTTGCATTTGGCACAGGTCTTGGCAAACTTGTTCTCATGGCAGGAGACGCAGTAGAAGTCATCACCCTTGGGGAAGAAGCTCCCGGATCCAATCACTTTCTTGCATTGGCTGCAGGTGAAGCAGTCCTTATGCCAGACCATCTTCTTGTACTCGACGTTTTGGTCTCCTACAACAGGCAGAAGTAACTCATTACATGGGACTTCAGGCTTGTGGTAAACCCCCCCCCCTCTCGCCATGCAGTGATGTACCCATAGGCAAGACCTGGTCATATGCATCCAACTGTAATGTGGACAAGGGATGGATTTCTGTACCTTCTGGGTTCACTTATCCTATTTATCAGACAGGAGCTGGAGAAGAGGCCCTGATTACCGAGCAAAGCCTTTGGTACTACATGGTTTTAACTGCTAAGGTGAGCTTTCCAAAGCAGCCTTTCAGCACTTGAATAAAATGGACAAACGAGAGCAACGCTGAGAACTTGCCCCATATTCTGGTGCTCCAGCCTTCCCCCTTGATACCCACACCCCCAACTGCAGCCACCCCACCATGCTTCTGCCCTAGAGCAGTTACACCCCATCCCAGCACCAGTACCTGCAATTATAGGCTTGAAGCAGCCCTTACACTTGGGTGCATCCTCGTTGGTGGTGCAGTCGCCGCACCAAACCTTGTTGTTCTCCCTTAGCATGAAGGGCTCATCCACCAGGGACTTGTAGCACTTGACACAGCGGAAACAAGTGTCGTGCCAGTACCTGTTCTTGAAGTGCAGCTCCTGGAAGGGGCAGACACGCAGGGAGCAATAAGCACTTCTCACTCACTGAGCAGCCCTAAAGCCATCAGCCTCAGCACCTGAGCACATCTGCATTCAGTGCTTGGAGCTGCAAGCAGTCAAGGACATTGAACCAAGCTCACAACAGTCACATTCACTGTGGGCTTTTGGGGTAGCAAAAGATGCTTCAAACCAGCAGCTTTGAGACTGGAGGTTCTGCAATTATGGGGTCCCCTGGTTGTCACATTCCCTCTAGCCCAGGTGTACGTTGTTATTGCCATAAGCATGGAGCAATGAATGACTGGCAAACAGCACTCAGCCCCTTGCTTCCCAAGGGCTTTGCCCAGGGATGGGTTTTCTACACATCCTGTACAGGCTGCGTTGCCTGCAGGGCTCTGCTCAGGATGTGGCTCAATTGAAATGAGCCTTGCTGTGAGCACCCCTATTACAGAGCTCCAGTTCATGGCCCATCCATGGGGGGCTCAGCTGAGGACACAGAAGCTCTCAACCAGACCAGAACCAGCACAACAACGAGGAGGTTCAGCAGCATCCCCATGTGCTCACCTTGGAGTCAGCCCCGATGGGTTTCTTGCACTCGATGCAGGTGTTGGCACAGATCTTGTCGAAGCACTTGACGCAGCAGTGCCGGCCCTCCTTCTGCACGTACTTCTTCCCCTGCAGCGAGTCGCGGCAGTAGAAGCAGTCGAAGCGCTCGGACATGGTGCCCACGGTGTAACTGCCAGGCCCTGCAGGAGGAACCAGCCTGAGCCCACGGCACTGGAACCCCCAGAGCTGCTCCGGCTCAGCAGCGAGCGGGTGATGGTGTCGGGCTCCTCGAGGGCTTGGTGGTAGAGAAAGCAGCACCCATGGGGCGGTTGGGTCAGCTTGGTGGTTGTAACACACAACACAAGGGAAGCAGCTTGTCCCCTCCTCCTGCACCAGCGCTGGGGGCTGCAGGATGTGCCCCTCATCCTCACTCCTCTGCTGCAGTTGCTCCTGTGCAGGTGTTTCTCCCCCCTTAACCACGTTATCACCATCACCAGTGGTGGGGCCGACTCAGAGCCTGGCACTGGCTCCACTGCACAAGGGAGTTCTGGCAGCTTCACACAGGAGCCACCGCTGTAGCCCCCCCATTACCAAAGCCTTGCCACACAAACCCCATACAACAGTAACACAAACCCCATCGGTCCCCTTAACAGCCATCCAAGATACAAAATACCTGCCTACAGTGGCAGGGTGGGCTCTGTGGCCAAGGAGAGCAAAGCCCCACACTAGCCCGTCCCCATCACCTTCTGCAGAGGAAGGATAGCAGGTGGGCTTGTTATCCTATGTGACATCAGGCAGGGATGATGATACCCAACCGCTCCATCGCAAGAGCCACTCGGTTCATCACGGCCGGACCCGCTGCAGCCCCGGCTGCATAGTCTGTGTGCAGAAATCCCCCCTGTTATGAGCACAGCAGCATAGAGCCCATGTTCCCAGCTGCAGCCCTCCAAGGTCTCCGGGGCTGGAGGCTTGTGCAACTTCCAGCTGCCTCCTTCCACCAGGCTTCCACATCGAGTCAAACCCAATGGACAAGAGCAGGGCTCCCCCTCCATCGAATCAACCAGGTTGGAAAACACCTTTAAGATCAACCATTCCCCAGCACTGCCAAGGCCACCCCTAACCCATGGCTCTGAGCCATCAGGTCCCCCCCCCGAGTCTTCTCTTCCCCAGCCCTTCCCCATCACACTTGGGCTCCAGGCCCTGCACCAGCTCCATTCCCTTCTCTGGCCCTGCTCCAGCCCCTCAATGTCTCTCTTGCAGTGAGGGGCCCAGAGCTGAACACAGGACTCAAGGTGCAGCCTCACCAGTGCCCAGTGCAGGGGCACAATCCCTGCCCTGGCCCTGCTGCCGCACTGGTGCTCATCCAGGCCAGGATGCCGGGGGCTCCCTGGGCACAAGCTGCTCATGCTCAGCTCCATCAGTCAGCACCCCCAGGTCCTTTTCCACTGGGAAAAAGCCTCACTCAGGCCATCCCCCCCACGCCCTGGGGTTTAGGGGCTGCTTTGCTGTTTACGGCAGATCCCAGCAGCACAACAGCCAGGCTGCTCCGAGCCCCAGCACATCACCCTTATGAACGGGAACAGGGCATGGGCATCATGGGGTGCACTGCTCCTGGCTGTGCCCCACAGCACAAGGAGGTCAGTGGGGCCCTGTCGGGCTCCCCCTTAGCCACAGAGGATGTGGTGCTGCTGCAGCACAAGGACCGGCTCACACCACTGTCTCCTACTGCCCGCACCAGCAGCCCTGTCTCCATCACCAACTGCATGGCCCAGCCGGGAGCAGGAGGAATCCCCACGCTGGAACGAGGACCAGAGGAGCATTGCTGCTGCCCCGAGGAGCAGTGTGCATCAAACCCCACAGGTCCCCACCAGCAAGAACTGAGGGTGGCTGCTGCCTCCACCTCCTTTGCCAACCCAAGTCTTCTTCCCATTGATCCAGCAGCACCACGAGCAGCCCTGGGTGGTGCCTGCCTGCAAGTGGATGCTTTGCTGTTATTTTAGCACCATTCTGCCCCACAGCAGGGCTCAGGGAGCTGCCGATAGGCAGGGGAAGATGCTGGGGAGGAGATGCGCCTCACACTGTTACTTCGCACATAAAATGCAGGATTCATCTCCCTTCCTTGTCACCCTTCCAGTAGCATCAGGCCAGAACAAGCTGGAGCGTTCCTCTTCCAGAAGGCAGGGCAGACTTGGAGCATCGCATCCCATCGCATCGCACAGGGCAGCTGGAGCAGGGGTGAGGACCGGGATCCCATCCTGAACAGGGAGCAGGCTGGAGGCTCCATGGGGAGCGAGGTCAGGAGATGGCTACGTCCTGCTGCCAGCCTCCAGTGAGGGCTGTGTTTGTGCCGGTTCAAGGCACAAACAGCTGGGAAACATGGAAACTATGCAGGCCCCGGCGAGCAGGGGGGGCTTTATTTAGCAGCAGTGCACTCGCACAGGGCCCGGGGCGCATGGCATCGAAACGCTCCTGCTCTCGGGTTTAGGGTTGCTCTCAACCAGAACACATAACCGAGAACATATGGCTCCGGGGGTAACGTAACCCTGTGGCCCCATGGAATGCTCCTGCGCTAACGTGAGACACCCGTTTATCACAGCAGCCCCATAGATGAGTTAGCGCTGGGACTGGCAGCCACGCACACAGAGCTGCTGCTGCCTCCTGCCATCTCCCACACCAAAGTGCCCCTTGCATCACATACAGGCCAGGGGATTCCTTTGCTTCCAGTTTTCCCAGCTTTCTGCCCTCAGCAGTAGCATTCCTGCGCTAGACCCAGGAAAGGCACCCCTCTGTCTGCAATAGAGATGCCCTGAGCAGTGTCCATCCATTGCGTGCTCAATCTCTGCTCACCCATTCCATCTCCTACACCCCCCCATGGGAACAGCCCACCCAGAGGCTGGGGCACGGGGGCCACAAAAGCCACCCCAATGGCACAGCCATGCTGCAGCAATGCAGAGCTTGGAGCTGGGGTGAGCACTGACCAAACCAGCCACCAAAGCCCAAGGCACTGCCCCTCTGTGCTTCTGCTCACAGCGATGCGCCTGCAACAAGCCCAGGGCACCCAGCTGTGGCAGCAGCATCACACCCACACCAAGGTGCCTCTGAGCTCCTGTTTAACCCCAGGAGAACCACACACCCTGGGGACAGGCACTGACCCAAGCCCCATTCCGGCTTCACTCTGGAGCCATGGAATGGGATGTAGGATACAAAGTAAGGACAGACTGGAACTGCTCCACAACCCCCTGTGGCAGGGCTCCAAGGCAGGTTGGACACAGGGGCTTGGAGCAAGCTGCTCCAGTGGAAGGGGTCCCTGCCCATAGCAGGAGCTCTGAGGTCCCTTCCAACCCAAACCATTGCATGCTCCACGCACAGGGGAGCTGGGCAGAGAGGTAAGGGTAGTACATTCCCATCCTCACGTAGCCTAAAGGACCCTCAACGAGCCAAGAGCTCAAGAGAAACCCAGCAATGCTTCCACAGGAGAACCCCCCTTTAGCAAGGTGTCCCTGTGCCACCAGCCCTGGAAACACAGCTCCCCGGTGGCTCTGGCTGCAGGTGCAAGGGGGCCGGCCAGAGCGGTGGCCTTCTCGAGTGTCAGGGTATTTGGCACAAAGAGCCATTGGAACCCAAACCCGAGCATTTACCTGCCCACAGGGGGGCCCGGTTGCCACTTGTCCCCAGGGAGCATCCTAGACATGCTCCTCCTTCCATCTGCCAAGCACTGGGGCTCCATTGGCTTCCATGCACCCCAAGTGACCCTGACCCCATGCAGTGCAGCAGTCACAGGTCAGGGCTGCCCGCACACCCTGCAGGCTTTGGGATGTAGTGGGATGTGTCCCTGCCCATGGCAGGGGGTTGGAACTGGATGATCTTAACCTTTCCAACCCAAACCATTCCAGATGCTATGATTCTGTGTACAGGGTACAGACCTGAGCAGTGCCTCCCCACTGAAGCTATCGCATTAACACACAGCCCTGCCTCCCCCATCGCCTCTGCTCTGGTTCCTCCCAGTTCAGCTGCATCCCACAAGGCAGCATCCCAGCGGTTTGCATTAGAAGTGAAACCGAAGCACTCAAAGGGAGCTGAAGCAGAGCTGATAAGCAAGCACTTAGCACGGGATATGTGTTAACATCCCTGGGGAATACAGCTAGCTAAATGGGATAAACCACCAAGGAAGAACTTGGAGCAGGGATCTGAAACCAACCAAGGAAACTGGAGCTTAACCTTGGCTGATGATTCTGCCACTGCAGAAGCTGGAGCTGCTCCCTCTGCCCTACACAACTGCATCACCCAGCAATGCAGAAGGAAAGAGGGGTTGCCCTTTGACTCGCCATCAGTTTTCTTTTCCTCAGCATCCCATGCTGATCCAGACACCTCCTTCCACTCAGCACCTGGTACCCCCTGCTCTGTCACCCCAGCTTCTGTTCCTAGCATTCCTCTGTGGGTGCTTTGCTATAAATACCAAGGAATTCCCTTAAAAGAAATAGGAGGTGCCACCCAGCCCGCACCTCAGGGTCATTGGCACAACAAGGGTTTGCAATGCCAAAGGAAAGGAAGCACTGATGCGCTGGGAGGGCTGCCAGTGCTGCTCTCCCATTGCCAGGCTGGGGCACGTGCGGGTCTCGCTCCATAAGGAGGCTGTTGATAACATGGAAGTTACTTTACAGAGAGCACGAAGAGCTCCCAGTCCCTCAGAGAACGGTCCACTAAGGGAGATGAGAAGGACACAGCTGGCACATTTTACTCAGAAACATACCTTGCATGACACCATCCACACCACCGTGCTCATGCCTTGACCTGGGAGCCTGAGTGTGAGCTTAAACAGCACGCTGTGACTTTCCTCCCTAGCTCTAAAGAGCCTCTAGGTTCCCAACCACGTCCCAGGAGCATCACTGTCCCCTGGCTCCTGCTGTGCCCAGCTTGGTTGGGCGCCCACAGGAGCTGCGTCCCAGACTCAACACCCTCTGCCCTGGAGCATCCACCCCTTGGGCTGCATCTCACCAAGAGATGTGATGGCCCTGTACTAGGTACCTTGTGCTGTAGGAACTGTAACTGCATGCTGGGCACACACACACAGACACGGGGTCAGCTTCTAAGAACCAGACAAGCTGCTATGAACCCCCCAAGAGCTTTCCATTGTCTGCAATTGGAGGACTAGAGGAGCTTAGGCAGGGCTGGAAGACAACACACCCTGTGCCATGGGGAT